ATCTGTTAAACTGTAATTTATTTCTGTGATGCGCAGCTGTATTTTCAGCATCATTACTCCAGTCTTCAGTGTCACATGATCTTCAGAAATCATTCTAATATGCTGATTTGCTGCTCGAGAAACATTTCTGATTATTATCAATGTTGAAAACAGTCGTGCTGCACAATATTTTTGTGGAAACCGAGATACACTACGATTCAAAAGTTTGCGGTAAATAAGATTTAAAAAAATTAATTGATACTTTTATTCATCAAGGACGCATTAAACTGATGAAAAGTGACAGTAAAGACATTTATAATGTTACAAAAGATTTCTATTTCAAATAAATACTGTTCTTTTGAACTTTCTGTTCATCTGTGAATCTTGAAAAATAAAATGTATAACAGTTTAAATATTCAGCAGCACAACCGCTCATTAAAAAATCCTAATTATTGCAGACGTTTGACCAGTGGTGTCTTCAGCCACCACAGCTATGAGAAGATCAGTGCCACAGAAACAGAAACCAAATGATGCACAGGATGTTTTCAGCTGAATCTCAGCATCATGTTAAGATGAGTGAGCGTGTAACTGCAGGTCCAGAACTAATACAGCGCTGCACATCTGAATAAATAACGTCACCAGAGTTTGACCTGTCGCTCATCACAGCATCTTTCTGTTTCTCAAAGCTGGTGTACGAGTTCTTCCTGCGGTTTCTAGAGTCGCCCGACTTTCAGCCGAATATTGCCAAGAAATACATTGACCAGAAATTTGTGATGCAGGTATGCAGATATCTTATTTCACTATATATAAGCTGAAGTTTCAGTATTAGTTCAGATGTGTGAAACGCTGTTTCTGAACTGAATTTCAGCTTCTGGAGTTGTTTGACAGTGAAGATCCACGAGAGAGAGATTTCCTGAAAACCACCCTGCACCGAATATATGGAAAGTTTCTCGGGCTGCGCGCTTACATTAGAAAGCAAATTAATAACATATTTTACAGGTGAGCAGTGCCTTCTTGCCTCATTCTTGTCGTTTCTCAGCGTTAATGGTGTGATAATTCAGTCTTAGCTGGAAACAGGTTTCAGTGTTTAGGAATTTAGGAGGTTTATATGTGACCCTGGAGCACAAAACCAGTCATAAGGGTCAATTTTTCGAAATTGAGATTTATGCATCATCTGAAAGCTGAATAAATAAGCTTTCCATTGATGTATGGTTTGTTAGGATAGAACAATATTTGAAAATCTGGAATCTGAGGGTGCAAGTGTGTGTGTCTCTCTGTGTGTGTGTGTGTCTCTCTGTGTGTGTGTGTGTGTGTCTCTCTGTGTGTGTGTCTGTGTGAGTGTGTGTGTCTCTCTCTATGTGTGTTTGTGTGTGTGTTTGTGTGTCTGTCTGTGTGTGTCTGTGTCTCTCTGTGTGTCTGTCTGTGTGTGTGTATGTGTGTGTGTGTGCAGATGGCGAGGGAGCAGAGGAAGGAGCGGCCGCTCGTCAGACGTAAATCGGATCTTCCTCAGGACTCGTACGCCACGAAAGCCTTGGAGACGCACCGGCGCGCCGAAGACATGATGACCAACCACGACAGCCGCTAGCTCACGCTGCTCACGCTCAGGTTGTCGTTTCTCTGGTGTTTTCTTGACTCTCTTCCAGTGGTTCGTACCTCACCATCGGTCCGGCCGGCTCGCCGCTATGTGGATGAGAAGACACTCGAAGCTGAAACTCTCCAGCGCAAGCGGAAAGCTTTCTTAGCGTTTCAGATTTGTGTTTATTTTCAGGGACGGTTGCCAGTGCCAATACTGTCGTGTTGATTAGCTTCCAGAGATTTATTTGTGTGTTTATTGCTTCAGCTAATGTGGTGTTTCAGACTAAAGCACGTATGTCACGTGTTCTCTGTGTGTGTCGCTCAGATCTGATGACTTTAGTTAGTTCACTTCTGTGCCATGATGAACTCTGACCGTTTAGTTGAACTTTGTTTCTCTGGCAGAATCTGCCGCTCATGTGCTGTTTTACTGGTTCAAACAATGGTACCGTTTCTCGATCAGATCAGTGGCGTCCGGAGCGAAGGCCGCGTGTCGTGTGCGACGGCTGAATGTCACAAACATTCCCGGATCAATTCACCCGGCACGGCTGTTACAGCAGAGCTCTGGGATCCGTTAGCAAGCTCTTCTGATCTCCAGACTCCAGCCGTACGGACTGTGACTCTCAAACACGTCCAGAAGGATCTCAGTGC